CAGCGTCGGTGCATGGCAAGCATCCCTACTGGAACAGCTCTGTATGCTGGCTTCTGATGCAGGTCTTTCAGAGAGGGATGTCTTCTAGCGGGCCAAGTGGGAATGAGCATAGCGTGCTTTTATTCCATAGCGTTTCAGCCCCAAGCTTCCTGCTGGGCATGAAGTAGCAAGGAATGGCCAGCCCATGGCATTGCCCCCGCTCTGGATCGTTGTGCTTTGACACTCGGGGAAGCAAGCTGTGGTCTGCCTGGGCAAGCTGAATTGCTGGAGAAATATCTTGCAGGGAAGCCTTATTTTCTGCCCATTTGTACAAATGCCCTGCTTCTTGCCAAGGAGAACAACAAGGAGGCTTGTAAGAGAGGGGAAAACCCAGTTGCATGATTTTAAATAATCTTTTTGACATGCCAGACTCTAAATACCAGAAGAGCCTTGTACCAAGGAGCAATATGGTGCTGCTTTACAGAAACTCCCTGGGCATAACACAGTGCTCATCCAGGGGAAAAAGCAGCCAGTTCCCCCTCCGATGGCTGGAGAAACACTGGAATCCGTGGTGAGTTATATTTCCTTTTTGAGGTTTCTATACCGAAAGCTGAATCTCAAATGCAGTGGAAAAAAATCTCTCAATCCTTATTACAGTAATCTACATGCTTCATACATTGCTCACAGAAACAGCAGCCTTTCCCTACGTCTGCTTTTTAAGTCTCTGTTAAGAGCACTAGAGTTGAGGTTTCATTATTAAGATTTAGCGCGTCTCTATTAGTAACCTGTAGTGCCTTGTGGAAAACAATGAGCTATTTAGTATACTTGTCACAATAATAGCTTTCAACTGCCTTGCAAAATATAGGTGGCGTTGTCAGGGCATGCATTTACCTACTTATTAATGGGAAACGCTGGGTTATTTGCAGTAAATTCCCTAGTTGTTTGTGTGATTTTTGGTGTTGAAATACCTTGGGGACCAGGTGCCTTAGAATTTCCTGGGGTAGCTAGCAAAGAATTGCAAAAGACTTAGCAAGTGGAAATAGCAGGACAAACGGGGCTGGGGAGAAGTCTGGTTAGCCCCTGCGGGCATTTTCTTCCTAGTGGCACATTTTGTACAAAGCCAGAACTTCGTCCTTGTTGCTGGTGTAGGTGAAAAAAAAATAGGAGGGGTGGAGGGCAGCACAAAATCTGAAATGAAAGAATCCACACAGACATGAAGATTAAATGATTTGAGCAAAGCAGCAGTTAGAGAGCAGCAGGTCTGGGTCTTCAGCAGAGCGCCGATGGCCTGGCTTCCAGTTCTGCATCTTGAAGAACTCTGCGCTCCCTCAGGTGAGGGAGTGTGCTTGTGACGTGAAAGTCCCCGGCTGTTTCATAACACTTTGTAAAACGGATTGGCTTTTTTTTTTCTGTTTGTGACTGGGGAAGATCCGAACGTCTACACGTTTAAGGTGACGCCCCAGAGGAAACTATCGCTTCCTCTGTCTTGAATGAGAGCGGAGCTTGCAAACCACATGGAGCCTCGGGTCCCTGCCAGCCGGTGACTTCAGAGGGATCGCAGGACATGGTATGCTTCTCACCGCTCTTGCCAGGCATAGCTGGTATTGTGGGGACAGTGGATGGCTCTGCTTGTCCCAGGGGGATCTCAGGTTTGTGCCACTTGTCTCACTGGGGCAGCAGGTGTGTTTGTGGCATTTTCTTTCTGGCCTTATTTTCAGTTCATAAAGCAGGCTCTTTCCTCTCTGGCTGAGCCATCGCAGTCGTGGTGTGCACGGAAAGGATATCTGGCCACCGTGGGTTGTGCTGGACACGACTGTATTGCAGCAGGCGTGCAATGTGCAGGCGGGTGACATGCTTTGGGGCAGAGGAGGAGATATTTTTATGAGAGTTCGTAAAGGGGCTGTTGCTGCTGTTAAAAAGGCAGGTGCTGATTATTTTGTGCTGCTGTAAACGCCTTCTGCTCTTGGGGTCGGACTCTAGGGTCGGGATGGATATTGCTGGAGCGTGCTTTGTAGCATCCATCCATCTCGCTTTCATCTGCGCCTCTGCCAAGGTGTAAGGGTGCACCTTCCCAGATGTCCCCAGCTCCCAGCATCCTTGTAACGTGGAAGGATCCCATCCCTCCCCACTGCTAGTAGCTCAAAGGAGGCTGCAGGCAGCCGAGTGGTTGATGCCCAGTGAGGGCATCTTTCCCCACATATGGGATCCTACAGGGGTATTGTGGGGGAGGTGGCTATAATGGAGGGTGTCCAATGTGCTTCTACTATTTGGATAACAAATTGAAGCTGCTTTGCTCCTTTCCATGGTGGAGCACAGCAAGGAGGAGACTGAGGCAGGAGCACAAGGATGGGTCCCTTACAGCAAATGTGCAGACTGAGACCGTCTACAGAGCTCTTGTGCTTTGTTGGGATGGGGAGTCGGACCCATGCCGCTTTGTTGGCTTAGGTTTCAGTCGGGGTCTGCTGAACTGCTGCTGCTCAGTTTATACACGTGCCTAGGGTTGTGTGTTTTGGGTTTTTTTATAATTTTTTTTTTTTTTCGTTTTGGCCAGTCTTTAAGGCCTTAACTCATACCAGATCCTTAGCATGCTTTCCTCCAAGTGCAGCCAGGCCTTGCATGCATTCAGGTTTTGCAACTGAGTCCCTTCCCTGAAAGGCGTGTTGGACCAGAGTACACGAGCTATGGACGTGCACCATGGGGATGCTGGGTACATGACGGGTGTTGAGCATTTTGCCCTTTTGGCACCTCATGCCAGCTGGGTTTCAAAGCAAACAACTTGGGAAAAATATGGAGAAGGATGACAGGAGTTAGCGTAGTACCCTGTAATGCTGTATTAACCCATCGGCCTGTTCGTTCTTTTGGAAAAAAAGCAGCTAGACACCTCCTTTTTTTAAAAAAAAAGAATGAATGCTTTGTTTCTGGAAACCTCAGTGGGATCTGTGATTACAAAGTGGGCTAGGCAGTTTGAAATCATCTAATGGGGCCAAAGCCTTCTGCAGGGTCAGGCTCACCTCCGCCATTCAGACCCAGTCATCACATCAGTGCCCATGCAAAGAAACAATTTTAATTTCCTTTTGTCAGACTGCTGGGAGCAGAAAGCTTTTCTTCCTGTCTTGGTTTTAGTTGGAGCTTCTCCAGGTCATGCGTGTTGCTGCTTCCTGCTCCTTCTTATTGCAGAAAAAGCATTTGCAAGCGAAGACTCTTGCTTTTTTTGACTGTAGCAGAATTGCAGTTGCCTTGTCCAGGCTCTCCAATGGAAGTAGCATCAAGTACCAAGATGGGAAGAGCTACTCTCTGAGATCTTGTGAACTAATAACATCATTTCTTCCTTCACGCTCCTGGAAGCAGAAAAGCCAGATCATATGGTATCAAATTTCTTGGTCTAGCCTGAAATTTTTGTTCCATAAAAGTAGCCTGAAGGCACGGCACTTGAAAGCGATGGCAGCCTAACTTTGCAAGTATTTGTGGCTTTTTAACTTTTGCAAATCATTGCTTCTCGTTAGTCAGGGATATTGAGAATCAAATGTCCGAAGCCAGTGCAAATATTCAACTCATCAGTGTGATGCGAAGGCAGCGGTTTCCCCATTCAAATGAAAGAGTTTGCAGGCTACTGGTTATTGTGATCCCACGTATCATATACGTTTGTGTCTGGAATATAGCTGTATTTATGATCAGGTATTCATCTGTTGTCAAATGTATAGTAAAAGCCACTTTCCCCTCTAAGGTATAAGAATTATTCAAATTAATGTTACTCCTCTCACTGACTACACATTCAGGCTCCTCATCTGTTATATATTATTTTCAACACGTTCTCTACTGGATTAGGAAGATTTATATATAGTTACATAATTTCTCTGCAGCGTCTGTAAAGATAGGGCGCTTCGGCAGGGCTTTTTGGCGCTTTTAGTCAATCAGCTATTAGATAAAAGCACCAGAAAAAGCCCCATTAAAGTACCCAGTTTTTAGAGATGTCTGGCGAGCCAAATTGAACTAACATGCTGCCTCTTCTGGGCATGCCCAGGGCTTGGCGCAGGAACACGTGTTTAAAGTAAAGCACCATTTTTTTTTGTTCTTTTAGGCCTGCAAGCGCCTGTATACTGAGATTGTGGAATACAAGTGTCGCCTTCTGATTTAGGTTAATTCACCAGGGCATTATGGTAAACCCGCCAAAGTCTTGTTTCATCACAAGACCATCCACATGCAGCTGTGCTAGACTCACTCTTGTGTTTCAGTTTCCATCCTGACTGATTCTGAATTAACTGGAAGTTAACATGGAAGTTAATTCAGACACATGCCGGGAAGCTGGGTGGTTGGTTATAGATACCCCTTCTGGGGTTTTTGTCTCAGCAGGAGGTACGTGGCTTTAGGTTTGACACGTTTATATGCCCGAAGGATGGCAAATGTTCACGTAACGTTGGGAAGGCCAGTGTGTGCACAAGTATTTAAACATGCAAATGAGGATGGTTTGACTTGCTGTGCGCAGATATCGTCACTAGACACATGGGGATCATCAAAATCGAAGAGGAGTGCGGACACTTTTCTAGGAAAGAGTGCATCTTATCTGACTTAAATAAGACACTCTGGGTTTGTGTCCCGACAGGGTCCAGACTGAGGATCTAAAGGACCATTGCAATGCAGGTAGTAAGTAGTGCTAAGACTTTGCTGGAATTTGTGAGTGCTTCGCCCTTCTGAAATGCATGCTGCTTGTATGTATATGCCTAATGCAAGTTTTTTAGAGCCCTGGGAAAACTTTGGACTGAAATCTTTTTAAATAAAACATGTTGATATCTGTAGTAAACAGCATAGAAGACTTTTGAAGGAAATCAATGCAGTCTCCCTGCATCTTTGCTATGACAGTAGCTCAGACCTGAAAGCTAAACCTGTTGCAAGAGCTTCTCAGAAAAAGTGTGTTTGACTTCAGGACAAAAACCTCTTTTCCCTAAAGTTTCCTTTGGCTTTTTGTTGGGGGGGGAGGAGTCGGTGTTGGCATGTTTTGTGTATGAGAAAGGGAGAGAGAGAAAATCTGACAGGTCTATTTTAACTAGAAGGACAGAAATTCTTTCCGCGCTCGATCGGCATCTTGGACATGCTATAAATACTCTCCTTCCTGTTGTTCTCTTATCATTTCTATGATTGCTGTCAGCACAGGGGCTGTCATTAAGGTTTGACCCTAGTTTACTTGTAGCATCTCATTCTAATAAAACGATGTCCGTCCCTTGTGCCCGCCCGGTGCTAGGTTTCATTGCTTAAGGGCTTAATACCCCAGTGTAGAAGTCCATGCAGCCCCACCACCATCCCCACTAAAATGTAAGGATTTGGCTGGAAGGGGTGCTGCTGTGTGCCTTAGCCATCGGTCCAACTTGCATGCTCAGGCTGGTTTTGCTGGGCGAAACATCCCCTTGTCCAGGAGCACGGTGTGGCTAGCAGTAAAGGAGCAAGTATTTGAACCTGTATGACGGGGACCTGAGGTGCGGGCGTAGGAGAGCGGAGCTGGCCATGGAAGAGAGCAAAGAAGCGATAGCCGCCTTGCCAACCCCAGCCACTGACAAAACTATACGCTGGGCCTCAAAATGGCCTTTAAAAGCACAAGGATCTTCCCCCCACCCCCTTTTAATTCAAATCTGTTGACTTGCTTTCTGTTTGTTTGAGTCTTTAGAGTTGACAATTCAAGCTTTTTCTCTGCGACCATGAAGGCTAGAAGGTAACTTTAAAAAAACAAAACGCCAAAGCTGAGAATCACAGGAGTCCAGGAGCTGGGACTTTAAGAGAAATACCCGATATGGTGAGATTTGTGCTGAGACGGCAAGCATCTGCAGTGCACCAAGAGGATTAATTCTGGCTAGATTTGCCCTCTGCTCTCCTGTTGCATCTTGTGTTACTGAATATAATCCCCTCCCAAGCAGGAGGTGGTCCGAATTGTGATGAAGGTATTTTCTCTGCCTGCCACAGAATACCTTCCTGGCTTCTACCTTTGAGGGCTGGCAACGGTATTTTTTATCTGCCAAAACTTATTTTGAAGGCTGAGAGCTGCTTCCCAAAAACCTTCTTAATAAAACCTTTCTTTTGAAATGCTGAATGTTCCTCTTGCGTCTTTTTTTCCTGTGCTTGTTGCCCAACTAAAATATTTTTGAGCGTTTAATTATGTTTCTTCCGCCTGTGATGGTTCGTTTTCCTGATGCTCTTATAACATTGGCCGGACTGTGCTTCTATTGTTTGTCTCAGGCGCACTTTGCATGCAACTTTGCATTGCATGATGGAAAGTTTATCTGCCTCGGTATTTTATTTTATTTAAACTTGAAAAACAGCAGAACTTGGATCTTGATTCAAAATGTCCTAGTTTGCCTGAACAGGTTGGGTTGGGATTTCCAGTGTGGGGAGTGGGGTGGAAGAGGAATTTGATGCCAAAACCAGGAGAAGGTGCTGTTTTCTCTAGTCATGTTGCAGTTCCCTGGGGTTAATTGAAAGATTTATCGCGCAAGGGACCCCGCATGTTTAAAGTTATCCCTTTTTGTAGTATCTACATAATAAAGGAAGAAGCAGTAGATATGCATGTGTCAGGCATGGATACAGAACTAGGAATAAGCCCTGTGGAAGCAGATGAAATAGAGGATAAGGACTAGGTTTTTAAAAACTACTGGAAACCTAAAGATACTACCCTTCTTCATCCTCAGTAAATAGGGTGAGCACCCTCACATTTACGGTAGGGTAAGAGCATGCAAGTAAGTAAGCAGATGTGTTGTATGTTCACACTCTTGCTTACCCACAGGTAATTAGCGCTCAAACTTTAAGAGGGAAAAACTATATTAATGCCCACATCCCCCAAAAAAGACGACTTTCCCCCCCTTTAAATATTGTCAAGCTTGTGTTTTAGCTAGGTGTCCAAAGATTAACAAAAAAGAAACAAATGGAAGAGCCAAACAAATTCTTAGAAATGAGAGAGGGGGTTTCAAAGTCTAGGTCAACTTGCCCCAACGTCAGAAGCTCAACAGCCTTGCCAGCTCTCATGATCTTTGGCGTTGTTCCTGAAGTTTAGGCTTCGGGAATGTGAAAAACTTTCATTCATACATATGGATATAGATAAATACAAATATGTATAAAAGAAAGAGCTAAGTTTTTCACAGTCCTGAAATGTAGACAACACCAAAACTTACGAGAGTTGGCAACACTGGCTCAATATAGTTCACAGTAGGGAGCCTTGGCCAGTGGCTGGCAACACCCTCCAGATATATTTTCCCCACCTCCCATCAAGCAAAAGGTGGAAAGTTTCTTATTAACAGATGTTCTGGCAGCTGGAGCAGGTGGGAACTCTCATATTTGGGAGATGCCAGCCACTAACAGTAGATACTGAGGCAAGTCTTGCGTCCATATAGTAGGGCATCTGCCGTGGACCACATCAATACATAGGTAAAGCTTCAGCTGCCACTTCCAGATGTAGCCTTTATTGTACTTGGAGGGAGCAGCCATCTCTTGCCCAGCATAAAAGTGCCAAGCGTGTAGAAAATGAACTTGTGTACTGCGTTCCTTCCACTAAAACCTGTAACGAGGAGGCGGCCAGGAGCATGAGAGTTAAGAAACCATCCCCATGGGCTAAGTGTAGACCCCTGGGCACACACATGCAGGCATGTATGTTTTAAGCCAGCGGCTTTATTTGCTTTCCTGTGTTGTCTCTAACAGTGTGCTGGGGAAGAGAAACGAGTTGGTACACGAACCGTCTTAGTTGGCCACCGCCCCGTGTCTGAAACGGATGCTTATGTTGCGCAGAAATTTTGCGACAACAGAATCGTCTCCTCCAAGGTAAGTCTTTGCTGGCGAGTGTGGGGTCATTTAATCTGCTGGAAAGTGTACGTATTCCTTTCTGTGTTCAATCTTGTCTCGTTTCATCTTCCCTCGCGGCCTTCTGAAATCTCCAACCTCATCCGACCAGGTTCGAGTAGCTGAAATTCTTCTTTGCAGGAAGAATGTGCTGCAGCGTTCAGTGCTGTGCTGAAGTGACTACTTTAATTACATAAGCTTTAATTAGCACAGCTGTTAATCTAAAAAGGCGTCGAGTAGTAGTTGAAAATGGCATGCCTTGCATTTGTCACGACAACTCCTCTCTGATGCTTGTGTAGCTGGTGCCCGACATGTTGGTGATGAGCCGTTACGGTCCACGCTGGAGTTTGATGTAAAATTCTCCACTGACATTCGTGAGATGGGGGATTGACTAGGGCTCTAATAGGTGCATATGGGTCTGCTCCTGCTCCAACCTCCCCCATAATTTTCCCCCTGCCACCCTTCTTCGGAGGTTTTATTTATGCTTTTATTGGCACAATCCAAACCTGTGCCAATTATAAATCTGTATGTCACCAAAACTCCAGTTCAGACTGACTTCCTTGCTCATGCTTACCGCAGGTGCACCCATGGGAATATGACCCAATAGCAAAGTGCCTGGAGCTCTTCTATGTACATTTTCTGGGTTTAGGGAATTAAAAGATAACGGATATGGTGAGAGATCATCACCGACTTACCCTATTTACTATGGGAAGTAGTTTGGAGGGGTATTTTTAAAATAGGCAGATAACAATTGTCTTGTGATTTTATTATTTTGTGGTTTGTTTGTTTTTTATTTTCCTATGCGGGACTAAAATAACTTGCTAGAGTGCATGCTCTAACTCTTAGCCTTTCCTTTGGATAACAGGGGAAACGTGGCTGTTCAATTAAAATAACCGTTGTTTATTTTGGAACATTTGGCACGATGAAACTTCTCTTCCTTTGGTTTGGCCTTGGCTTGTCTTGAAGCTATTTGCAGCTTCACCTTTCTTTCTGTAAAGCTGTTTCACACCTGGAAAAATGTTTTTAAATGTCAAAAAAAAGTGTCAGTAGCATTGTCAAGATAGCTGCATGAATGTACATCCCACTTGATACTAAGGTGATTTTGGAGCCACCCAGGACATCTTTGAAAACATTAGTCATGCTGTACTTAAGATCCTTCCTGAACAGTTGAGATCTCTCTCTTCATTTTGATGTCCTCTGGCTGTGTATACTTATGCCAGAATTGCTTTTTGTCCTAGAGGCCAGCTGCAGCAGTTCTGACTTAGGTAAAGACCCCATTGATTTTTACCAGGTGTCCTTTTTTTTTTTTCTTCCTTTTGCATAAAGTATGCAACCCTGGGCCTTCAGGGAATATTTGTTTGTGGGTTTTGTCTTGAGGGTAAGTAACTAAATTATTTTAACACTCCATTTTCTGTAGTAACTTATGGTGTGTGTGTGTTTTTTCTCTCGCCTCATTTTTACATACATTTTGTAATTGTGTTCATCTTTATTTGGTAAATGCGACTCTTCTCAGTCTGTTTAAGATTAAGACACGATGAAATCAGGTCTTCGCGTTGTGTTTGCTACTTGCTTGCAAATAACATTAATGATTATCGGTAGAAACTTGGGGAAAGGGCCTCAATAATTCAAGAGCACAGCAAGATCAAACATTTACCTGGCTTTGTTTCATACACTTACTTTTAAAATCCATATCATTTTTTCCCAAAAGAATGATTCAGTGACCTTCACCCCTCCTTACCCTTTAAAAATTGCCAGACCTCTAGTTGCACGTGCGACAGCTTTCTAAGAGCAAATATGGATGCCATTACTCTTTCTTTTTAAAATAAAAAGCAGTGAACAAAGAATGTTATTTTAAGATTGTAAAGATTTAACTTCAGCAGCAGTGAGCAACTTCTCATTATTTGGCTGACCTGTTTTGATGCATCCAGATGCAACTTCTGGAGTTGTTTATGGACACACAACCCATGCATCCTCCTCCCTTTTTTGATCAGATGGGAGTAATTAATTTTACTGCAGAGCTAACTGATTAACTCCTCAGTAAGTGTCTCACCATCTACACATACCACCCTATTAGGCCTTAGTCAGCTAATAAACTCTGCTGTAGATAGTGCTTGTAAATACAAATACTAACCTACGGTGGAGTTTCTTTAGTGCACAGTAGCACATGTGTAGACACTTGTACCCTAGCCAGCCCCTCTGCAGCACATTGAGCCACGTCAGAGCAAACTGGGGCTGGCAAGCTGACCCGCCTCCCCCATATCCCGGGACCCCCTGACAGCCGGGGCTGCTCTGACCCAGGTCAACGTGCTGTGGTCTCAGGCACACGTTTGAATGTGGTGTCAAATATTGTGCCAGAGTTTACTGCTGTGTATTAATTGCACATGGACACACCCAGGGAATGCTTTCCACCAGTTCATTAATTGGTGGGAAGGTCCTAGATTTGAAGTGTAGAAGCTGGGATGTGGAATTATAGCACATGCTGTAGTTTAAATGTAATGGGCCGATTATGTTAAGTCAAAAGCACTACAAGGACTTGAATTTGCATCTGGCAGGTAGCTGAAGAGTCCCTCAGTGGGCAAGATGAACAGAGCCACGGACTTAGCCCCATAGCCTTAGTTTAAAAGTTGCTTTGTTTTCTTACTGGCATCTCTTTCATTGTTTAGTTCAAGTCCAATAGTGGCACTAATATTTTACTCTGAATTTAGCATTAAAAGGCTGCCTCATGTAGCTCCTAAATGCACAGATAGCCCTATTGATCTTTAATGGGCCCCTTCCAAAAGGTGAATGTTTCAAATGCCAAACCTATGACATTTGCCTTTTAATAAACGAGCAAGGGATAAATCTCCTTCACAGTTGTCACTGAAGGGCCCAAGACGTGCCGAGGAGATGAGCCAGCCTTCCAGGATTTGCACAAGCCCGGTGGTGAAGTGGTGCAACTTGTTTGGGGAAACTTGAGCTTCCAAAAGGTGGTTCTGGCTTGTCTCAGCCCCGAAGGCTCACAAGATGCAACACACCCACATTGCATTGCTGATGATAACTTTTTCCCCCAATACTGAGAGGCTGCTCTTGCAAGCATATTGCTTTTCACACTTGGGAGGAGCTCAGATAACAGAAGTGCCTCATTATCCCTCTCCAAACCCCTCCTTATGCCTCTCTTTGTTGCAGTGTCCACAAAAAAAGTAGAGAGAGACCCTGGCAGTGGTTGATAAAACCTTTTACACACTTAAGTTACAGGCTGTCTGGGAGAGTGGGTACTGATTGTATAGGACTTAGCACGGTGTCTTCTGGTCCATGCAGAGGACTTTGAGGTGTTGCAGGAATAGAAATAACAGGGTTAATAAGTAACAGACTGATTTTTATGCTGTAGATTGGCACTGCCCTGGGGTGTGGAAACAGGAATTTTTCCCCGGGGGGTGGCAGCTGGGCAGGGAGCCCGAGCCCACAGTGGGCAGCCCACACCCAGCCCCAATGCTCACTCCGCTCTGGCCATGCTGCCCATGGGAGATGCAGAGCCAGCCTCCTCTGCTCAGCTGCAGCAGCTGCTGCCTACCGCAGGTGGGAGCTGAGGCTCGAGCACTGCTGGGGGGGCAGGGGGCTGTGGACCAGGGTCCCTGGCCCCATAACCCTGGCAGCTGGGGAAGTAAGGGGCTCTGGCAGGGATGGGGGGCAGCTGATGGGAAGTGAGGGGCAACGGCACGGGCAGGGCACCAGCATATCAGGTCTGCTCAGCACCGCAAAGCAGTGGGGAGGGACAGCCATAGCTGTACCTGTGTCCTGGTGCGTGAAGGGGTAGGGGGAGCTCTGATTGTCCATGATAAAAAAAAAAAAAAACCCAACAAAACCCCAAATCAAAAGCCAAAATGTATAGGTATTTAGAATGTATTTTATTATAGTGAATGAGGCACTGGTAGGCTTCCAAATTGCTTTAAAATACATCAATAAAACATTGTGTTCAATGGATACCTCTGTCTAGATATAGAGATAGTGGTGTTTCATTTCAATTGTGGAAAAATGTGGATTTTGCAGTTTTCAGTTGGAGGATTTTTAGTTATTTTTATCAGAGTATTTGTGACTTTTAAACAGAGAAAACCGAGATCCCTGTTGATAACCTTGGATTCACAGTCAGGAAGCAAAACCATTCATTTCCTGGTTGGGGGTGTATAGACCCATCTATTTAAAGTCAGACCATGGGATTAATGGGGCCACAGTCCTACCATATTGCAGGTTTTTTATAGAGCACTTGCTTGTTGGCATCATATTTGCTTTAGACGGAATGAAAGCAAATAGATGGCCCTTATTGCCCGTCAGGGGACCATATGCTTTGCTTGACATCAGGGCTCGGGTTATGTGAAGATGGATAAAAGGCAGCATGTAGCTCAGAGCTTGGGTTTTGTTTTTCCCCTGACGTTGAAGATGCAGTTTGCGGGCTGCTCCAGTCTGCGGCACGAGAGGTGCACTGCAGATGCTTTTAACTGCTTCGCTGCTGATTCTTTTAACAAGTGTCCAGCTGAGGTCCTCATCCTACATGCCCGTGGTCCAAAAGTCCCAGTAGCTCTCTACTTAGCTACTAGCATCTTAGATCTTCTTCAGCCTCCTTGCCCTCCAGCACAGGTCCAGTGAGGAGCTAATTTCTGCTAACTGGATAGCAATACTGTCTTGGGACTTCAGAAAAGAGTTTGGGAATGTTGTCCATGCATACATGTCTGTGAGCGGCTGTGTTAAATAAGCTGTTCCTTGAACAAATCCAGAATTGACACTGCCGGGAAGCCAACCTCCACTGGGAAGCCAACCTACAAAGCATCTTTGGGCTTACACACCACTCTGCCTTCCTAATACTGAGATGTTCTAGCGGCTGAACTGGTCCCAGCACAATTTAGAAAGCCCAGTGGACTGTCATGATAGGAGACATGGGACCTCGATTACACTAGGTCTCTGTATTAGGGCAAGCAGTAAGGCTTGCAAGTAAGATTACAAGCAGTTAATTTGCAAGGAAGAAGATTTCTTGGGGTCAGATCAGCTCCTTGGTTCTGTGTTCATACAGCAGCCAACCACCCCGTGTCCCTTGTTCTGGGATGCTTGTGAATATAGCTGCTATGGCGGTAGCCACGGTAGAAACTCGCAGCTGGTGTGTCACTGGAGTTTGTTGCTGGTTTCTGAATGAGTTCAGTAGCAAAAGAATAAATTTCCCGGGCTAAATATATCCCGAGGGTAACTTGGTGGAATTACAGCTGGGATATATCCACGCAATGCAAAAACTCCAGCTTTGAAGATGAAATCTCATTTCCTAGAAAACATCCAGACATACGTTCCCATTCTTTACCTTTTGACCCGAGGATAAACACAGCTTCCTGGCACAGTTCTCTCCCTCGGTGTTAGTTTATTGACTTGCAAAACGTCTCCGTGCTGCTATTTGTTTCGCTTACCCAGCTGTTCTTTTCTTTTTCTTTTTTTCTCACCCTGCAGTACACTGTCTGGAATTTTCTCCCGAAGAATCTTTTTGAGCAGTTTAGAAGAATTGCCAACTTTTATTTCCTTATCATCTTCCTTGTTCAGGTAAGGGCAATTTCAGCAGAACCGCTGGCAAACCTGGGGGATGTTTTTTTTGTTGGTTTGTTTTAAACTGGTTGTTCAAAGCTGCAATCACGATCTGATCGAGCAATGAGACTTGAGATGGTTTTGGTGCTTGTGAATCTCTTTAATCGCTAGCTCTATTATGTCTCCGGCACATACACATTCAAAATGCAATAGCTAGTAAAGCAGGCAGACCTATCTGAGAACATCTGGTGAAGATGGTTGATAAAATTTAAGGGGCCTGTGTATTTCTCCCTCTCCTGGTGATAATCCATTATTAGGACTTAAAAAAACCAACATAATTTACATCAGTTAAAATCAGTTGTACAAAATTCAGCCCATTCATCTAATAAATGAAATCTCTCCACAAGACAGCAGTCTGCAGTAAAGGTGACCTTCAGTGGGGTTCTATTAATACCTTGGTATATCATTTTTATTGATATACACTGCATCTTTAAAAAGCCAGATGCCCTATCGATGACTACAAAATATAATTTTCTCCATCAGGCTCAAAATCTCAGTGACTGCTGCAGAAATAGGTAATCGCAGACTGTTTCTAATGTTGCTGATCTTAAAGGGTGAGAATCACTCCCGAGGTCCTCTCCATTTGATTTCATTGGCATTATTCCAGTTTTTCCAGGAGTGAATCTGCCCAGTGTCTTGTACTCTCAATAGTGCTCTCAAACCAGGATGTTTCTCTTAGTCTCACCTAGTTTGAAACCACAGATTTACTTCTTGTCTGCTGTCCTGGAGCGTGGATTGTGGGACTGTAGGGAAAATTTTGTTTTGTCACCTAAACAAGTGGCAATTTGCTGCCGTTCCTTTGGAGTTTTGGTGCTAACCCAATTTAGACCTTTTAGAGACCTCACTCATTCATTTGATTGCTTGCAGCGAATGCTTGTTTTTATTCTAGGTGCCGTGAAGTAAGGAAACCCTCCACACACTCCATCAGAGACTAAGACCCTGACAGCATTAATAGACTTGCTGCCAAGGCACAGACAAGGCCCAGGCACTGCTCAGTCTGGACTGCTGAAGTTTTCACTCTACTTTAAGCAAGCTCTCAGGGTAGTGCTGTTCATGTAAAGCACCAGGGTATTACCTTGATGAATGCCATTTATAGCCAAAATGCCTGGTGTTGACCAAGTTAAGCACTTAATAATTTGAGTTAATGGACTTTCTGCAAGTGCTTCTCTGAAAGTTAAGTGCTCAGCAACACTGAATGTTGCTGGGTTTTTTTTTTTTTTTTAAGTATTCAGCAAACTCTGTCTTCAGACGTGCCTAGAAATTGTACGTTGAACTGTTATAGGGCCTAATTCAGCTCCTTTTTGAGATCCAGTATCCAAATGCTCATTTGCTTCAATGGCTTTGGGTGGTTACTTTTTTTGATGTCCATGGCACGAACATATTACATAGTGGATTAAAAGTTACAGCAATAAAAACGCATTCACTAGGTCCGTTTGCTGAACCGTTGGATAGATAGTGGCACCAAGGAAGCAAATGAAATCTTGCAGTGCACCACTGGTTTGGATAAATAGAGTCACGACCTTTTAACAGAAATGGAGACAGGAAGAAAATAGACCATTTAGAAAAGATCAGAGATGAGAAATATCTTTTGCTTGACAAAGAGAATGGTCCATGGGTTTCTGGACCATACTATTTAGTTTGGTAAAAGACATCAAATAAAGCAAAACCTTCAGATCTTAGCCAGACTCTGACACTTGGAAATGAATCCAAATTACATTGCTGATATCCTGGCCAATATCCAGATGCAGTTTGATTTATCTGCTGCTGATTGAATCCTTGTTGTAAAGGAAAGTCTGAT